TTTCATAAATTAACAGCTATAACTATCATTTTAAAATTTAAAAGTGTTAAAAAGTATAATAAAAAATTTTAAAAAATGCATTCATCCACCATTTACAAGTATCATATTTACTGATTTTAAAAGTACATAGCTCAGTCAAAAAAACAAAAAAAAAGTCTTATTAATTTTTGTTAAAATAACTCGTGGTATCTCTAACTTACTCCACTTTTTAATGGTTTAAAAAATGGTTAGAAATTTAAAATTATTGTTAAAAATGTAACAACTAGCTTTAAATTTTTTTAAAAAAAATTTAATTCCTAAAACTTAATAAAAATTGAAGTAAAAATTAATGATACCAAGAGTTATTTTAGCAAAAATTATTAAAACTGCTTGATTTAAAAATTAAAAAAAACTGAGATTTATGCATTTTAAATCTACAAATGTGAGTCGTAAATTTTAGAATAACCCTTAAGTAACATTCACTAAATCCCATGTCAAATTCTCAGAGTGGGAAAGAGTATGAAAACTACATAAAAAAGGAACATATGATTTAAATATTATACTAATAAACCCCAGTAGTAATAAGAGATTATCCAACGCCACATAACTGTCAGATAAAAACGGTGTTTTTCAATAATTTCCGCACCCTACAAGGAAAAGGAAACGTTTCAACCTGCCACAAGAGTGAAGAAATCAAAAGGAGAAAGAAAAAAAGTGTTTGAGTAAAGTAAAAAAAAATTTAATGACCTAGATATGGCCCCACATAATAACAAAATTCTTCGCGAAATCATCCAGGAAGGTTAGTTCAAACGGAAGTGGGGAGAAAAGGCCCTTCAAAGTGAAAACTGGGGCCCTTTTCCCAAGATAAACTTTTTTTTTTTCATCGGGCCAATTTTTGAATTTGAAAGGATAGCCAAGTTCGCAGAAATTGCGGTAGTGGTAAGCAAAAACTTCCATGAAAAGTGTCTTGAACAGCTGTCTACTTTCTTCTATTTGGAAAGTTTGCCAACGATCGATTGAAGACTTTAAGCAAGGCGACAGATTTCATATTTTTTCTTCGTTTAAAATTCTTAACGTCACGAAACAGTTTAAATTTTTAATTATATTATAATTTTACTTCAATAGAAAATACTGAAATACTTACTATTCTCGAAGAATACTTAATGGAAAACAAAAGAAACACAATAATCTTGTATCGTAATAACAATTTAGAAAACATCAAAAGAGAGAGAGAGTTAATTTCATATTTTCTCCAAATAAATCCTATAAGTCGGAAAACAAGCCTTTATTATCAATTATTATAACAACTGTGATTTTTTTTCCACTACGATGCTTCGTAAAAATAATATAATATTATAAGCATCGTTGAACAGCCGACCCAACTCCGGGTTTACGACTACCTATGTTCAACTCCGTAACCTTGTAATTTTGAACCCAATCCAGAAGACAAGGGAACTCCTGGATCAAGTATCGAGAGAAATTTGTCTTCGTGGAGGACTTTTTGATGGAACTAACCCGTATTCGCGGTCCAAAGGAAAACCACTACCCCCCCCCCCCCNCCCCCCCCCCCCACTGTTAGCCTGACTATAAGGGGACTCTAAACCATGATTTGTCTACCACTGAGAATATTTAACGTTAGCACTGTGGTCGGTGCGAGCCGGGTGCAGAATTCGTATCGACCAACCATTGCTGGGATTCAAACTCGGTTCACCTCATTGGGAAGCGAACACGCGATCCCCTGAGGCACCACGTTTCAAAAAATATATATAATTAGGAAATTTTGCATCAATAAATCATTTGCACATTTTTTTTAAATCAATTGCAAATTTTTAAAAGATTCGGGTTTTTTTGAAGACCCTAAAAGTATTTCTTTTCTGCATCACTTCATTCATGGCAGGAGTTATTATTTTCTTACTCTTGCTATTCTTGTTTACATTAGGGCTTATCCTTATTTACGTTGGGGCCGTAGTTGGCTACCAACCGACAAAACACTCAAACATTACATTTTTGTAATTTATTAACTTAATCATTAAAACCTTAAAACTACATCGTCCGTTCAAATCAAGTTTCATGCATAAAGGTTTATTTTTTCTAAAAAATATCTTGTCTTAAAAATTATTTAAAAACGCATATGTTGAATTTAATAATTCTTGAAGTAATTATCAAATATGAAATTTTTTTTTAATGAGCATTTTTTTCAACACCACTACCTAGTTTAAAGTTTTTAAGTCACGTGGATTCTGAACAGAAAAACAAAATGTAACTTAGTTATGAAGCAAAAAGTGTGAGAAAAATTTTAAAAAAAGGAATTAAAATCTTAATAACTTCTAAACAAATTGGAATCTTGAAAAAAAAAAAAAACTTTTGTTAAGTTAGCAAATAAAAATAGCCCTTTCAGCACTCCAAATTACAACTCTAAGGCAACATTTCTGCAAATTGCAGAGTGGTAGTATTTTTTGCTATAAGTTTAACTGTTAATAATTCTGGAACTAATGATAAAATGTTTAAAAAAATAATTTTAAAAAAAAAATTATCATACTCTCTATTATTTTTCGATTCACCCTGGTAATTAAAAACCTTTAGTCTTACAGTTTTTGAGTAGTCTCATAGTTCATAGTTTTCAGTTAAAATGTAACAAAATTTGAACATTAAAAACAGTGGTGGCGGCTTTTACGTTTTTCTGATCGTTTTTCTGAAATCAGTCAAACAGAATTCATTGAGGTACAGGATACTACTAAGGAGATATGCATTTAATAAGAAACTTAAGACATTTAATAAGAAACTTAGGAATCCATTTTCAATGAGCACTGATTTTTGAAACTGCTCTTTTGGTTGGTGTTCTACCAAAACAAATTTGAATTTTTTTTCAAAAATTGAAAAGTTAAGAAGAAAAATTAAAGGAATGCACTCCTGGTGCAAGCTCTCAAAACTTATTTAATATTAAAAAAAAATATATTAGAGAACAAAATACCCATTGTTAAGAATTACCTCTACAAAGTACACATTATTAAGATTTTTTTCTTTCAGTCTCTTTTTCATTAAATTAATACTATTGATTGAACCAAATTGATAAAGATGTGTTGTGAATTAGGCAGGTAATGAACACCTAAATAAAATCATATTGACACACAGAAGGGAAAATAGATACAGTTCCAATTTGTAAAATTCAAGAAAAACCCACGTTTTAAAATAATTTTTCCTAACAGTTAAATTTAACAGTTTAATAAATTTCAAAACAATGAGAATGAGAATCATAAGTTTTTCTTTAAATGAATGTCAATCGATGATTCTCTCTTTTGTATAAATTAAAGTCAAAATTAATAAATCAGATTAAGAATGCTACACTTCATTTATAGAGATAGAAACTATTAAAAACTCTCTATTTCTGAGCAGTACATCCATAGGCACAAATTGCCAAACAATTTTTCAAATAAGTAGACAAAAAAATTGGCCAAGTAGAAGTCAAATAAAACTAAAGAAACAATAATACATAGCTAAGTCACAATGGCTCAGAGGATTGAGAGTACATGCCCCATTGAGGTGACCTAGGTTTGAATCTCAATTCTTGTTTATTTGTGTACCATATTTATTTGTATACCTTGGTCCATATTAACCACACCACAGCACTAGCATTAAGTACCAAAATGCAATTTGACAAAATTTACAATCTTTAAATATGTTATAAATATTTAAACTAATAATTTAGATTTAATAAAAAAATTTATACGATAAACAAAAGGACATTATTTTGGCAATATGTTGCACAGTCCTGAAAAATATGAGCAACTCTTAAAATTTGCCACTTTGAACCCAAAAAGTTTGAACTCATACCTTTTATAAGAACTTAATGATTTGAAGAAAATTTCAAATAAAAAGTTACAAGTAATTTCTTCTACTGCATTTGTCTATACTAGCATCTTTTAACTTGCAAGTCAACAAAATTGTGCCTTGCCCAAGAGATAAACAAATGAATGAAGTATACAACTTGTAGATTAAACAAAGCTTCTTAATTAATTTTTGACTAAGGAGTAAAATAATCAACAGGAATATTCCATACTAACAAAAACACAAAGTGAACAATTCTGTGATTGAATAAATTTACAGAAAATAATAACAATTAATATGGTTTCCATAGAAACTTGGATGAAACAAAAGCTTTAAAAAAATTGAATACCTAGAAGATAAACATATAAAATACCTTTTTTCTTAAATTATACTCATAAGAAAATGTTTAAATTTTTATGTACTTTCATTTCCTATGGTTATGTGACCAATAATTTTTATAAAAATTACATTTTGTCGTTTGCCTATAGTTATGTTACGTATTAAAATAAATATAATTAAAAAAATAACAATGAGCAATAAACTATTAAGAACATTAGATCACATTGGTATTTATAGAAGGACACGTAACGTGATCCTACATTCACAGCTGTGTAGAAAGTTACCTTTTAACAATGTATAATTAGTTAAAATTAGAGTTATATTCTAATTGTTGGATTCAAACAGGATATAGGAAAAATTTTATAATGCACAATTTTTAAATTAATTATAAGTTAACTTCACAGCATTAAATAACAAAGAAATTTAAAAAAAACTCAATATTAAGTCATTTAATTAATGATCACGGGGTACTAAGTCTAAACTAAAGTCGCACAAACCACAAGTTAAGAGAAACAATGTCTGAAGTGGTTAATTTATGTTGATTAATAAATGTTGACACCTTACATTCTCAAGAATAAATTTTGTATTTTTCTTTTAATAACTAATTCAAAAATAACAAATATTAAGTATTATTTTATACTATACATAATAATTATAATATACTAATTAACATAATTATTATATAATAATCAATATAATTATTATATAATAATCAATATAATCATTATATAATAATTATTAATTATATGTATTATTAATAAAATTTATAATTATTAATAACATTTATAATTAAATATTATTAATAATTATAAAATGTATTAATAAATATTAATAAAAGATAAGATTAAGATTCTCACCAATATCTGGCAGCCTCTACTATTTTCATCATCAGGGGGAGGTTTAACAACTATCCAATTATACATTCTCATTTCAATAGGAACTTTCATGCGTTCGAAATCCTTCCACTGAGACGTTATGGACTCGTAACAAGTCTGACAAGTCACAACAGAATCACCACTTAAAAGAGTAAGAGCACCGTTTGGCCTTTTATGTTCTAAAAGGAACGGAAAATTCTTCACAGATATACTATGAATTCTCTGGCGATATGTCGTTATTCCACAGATGTAACATACATAGTTATGAGTATTATAACGCCGTGTCCATGGATTTTTGTCCTCTGGGAATGGAGAAGCTTCATAAGCATACCATTGAGACACAAGAGAATGGTAGCAAAACATACAGGAGAGAGCAGTTCCATCATTTGCAAGCTTCTCAGTTCCTTCAGGGGGTGTATGTTTGGACAGAAATGGAAAAAATGGCACACATTCCTCCCCTTTGACATTCCCTGTTGGTTGCGATTTAATGGGAAAAGTTAGACCAGTAGAATTCAACTCTCCACAAACAAAACAATGAATTGGCACTAGAAGTAAAGGTCGTACAAATGGAATGTCCAGTGGACCACAAATACGAGCAGTGGATTCTTCCTGATTTGGCTTAGAAGCTACTTTGAGATCAGAAGAATGTGAGGCCTTATCAATCGGCGCATTCGTCAAAGTTATACTTGAGACTGGCAAGGTATTAACTGTAGTGAGCAATGGTTCGCTAGACGAATGCTTTGAAAGGTCAATTTTTAAATCTGGTGATGAAACCTGAATATGAAGGGCAGCGCTAGCTTCAGATAAACGAGAGTCAACAGGATAATGCCCCATATGTTCCCGATCAACTTTCGTTGTAGCAATTTCATATTGGCGTTGAGAATGGGGCACGTGCGCAGATTCGAAAATTTCCCACTGGTTCTTTAAAAACATAAAACAATGATAACAAGCAGGGATTCTACCATATTGATCAATAAAATTATTTGATTTAACGAGAGAACGCAGAGATGGAAAATGCATGCACTTTTCCCGCGGTACAGTTTCAAGAAAATACACTTCGTCGCTAAATGGCCTTTCGCATAAACTACATTTATCGGGTCCTCTTTTCAAAACATGGCCATGCTCCTCGACGTTTGATTGTGCTGACAAACTTGGAGCATATAAAGAATTCGCAGACAAGAATTCAGATTCCTGAGACTTTGATACAGGTATTTTGTACTGACGTTGATTTATCGGAATTGATGCATGTTCGAAAGTTTGCCATTGATATCTCAACGAACTATGGCACTTGCTGCAAACTTTGACCTGACCGTGAATGTCGACAGAAATGGCACTGGCTGGTTTAGGAAAATTTCTAATAAATGGAAAGTACATATCGTCAGTAGGAACTGTGCTGATCGATATAAATGAATCGCAGAAACTTTCACACAGATAACATGCAAATTTAGACTCTGCAACTGTTTCTTGGGATATACTTTCAAGATGTTGCCTTAGAACACTACCATTATCTGCAACGTTTTCATTTAAAATTTTATATTTACGACGCTCTTCAGGAGTATTAGACACCTCAAACACCTGATATTGACGATATAGAGATTTGTAACATACCGAACATACACTTGCTTTACCACTGGAGAGTTTGTTGGCACCAGGATGGGGGGGTATATGAAGTAGAAATGAAAAATATGGGTCTCCCCTTTCTTGGTAAGCACATATAATTCTCTGAACAGATAACTGAGCAACCATACCACACGTATAACAGACAAATGTTTTATCTCTAACAGGAGTATCATTAACGGGAATTGATATAATACTTTTATAATTGCGCTCTTGGTGTGGTATGCCTTGCTTTTGATAATAATCCCACTGACTAACTAAAGAGGTATGACACTGTTTACAGACATGGACACTGCCATCAATATCTATAGGTTTTGATTTCATTGGCTTAGGGTGATTGCGAAGGCTCGGAAAAAAGGGAAGATGGGGAACCGTGTTAACGTAGACGCTCGAGAGATTCTTTGTTTCTAAACCACACATATAGCACGCCTCGTAGCTCATACCTGGGGACGCTGAGCTGGATGATCGGGAAGAAGTCCTCGTGGAAAGGCTCAAATCGAGAATGTTACTAGCTGCAGGGGCACACTTATCCGGTGCTTGCATTTGGAAACCAAAATTGCTAGAAAAGTTACTGTCTGAATATTCAGCGGATTTTGATTTGATCACATTACAATTGGGTGTAAATTGATTCCTAGGTTGCTTTACTTTACGATGCTCGGTATCAACTCCTGAGCTTGAAGCTTCGAACAGTGACTCATAATCCTGCTGCAAATTGAGATCCATGCCAGCAAATGGTCCATTGTCCAGTCTTTTGAGCCAATATAATCTTTTAGTGTATGGTGTTTTAGTTTTCTCAAAGGAATTCCATTGCTGGTTCAGCAGGTTGTAGCATACATTGCATACTAGAACCCTACCATCCGAACGCATACTTTCAGCCCCTTCAGGAGGTTGGTGCTGCTCTAAAAACGGGAAAAACGGGGCATCTGCATGGGGCTTTGAGCAAATAATATATTCCGCTCTAGATCCAGCACATACGTAGCAAGTACTGATACAACGTGGCTCTTGTTTAACCAACATTTCTCTCAACGTAGTAGACGTCATTTTTTTTTATTCTTCCGAAATTGTAACAATAGCACTTACAAATTATTACACATATATTTAATTATCACAATTAATCACACACGTATCATTTCAGAAACGCGCTTGAACACATTCGTATCAATCACAGATAATTTTAGCAGACAAGTAACAAAGTCACGTCGCTGTCATATTTCTACATGAAAGTAAACTAAAAGATACTAATTCAAAGGAAAAAAATCCGCTCAGAACTCCGGCTTCCATTATTGTTGTACGAGGGTAGTTGCTGACTCTTTCTTTCGATCTGTAAGCATTTTGACAGGGACAATCATCCATTTAATGATGGGTAAACAGAAACACGAGATAAACAACAGAACACAACAAACAGAACGCCGCCATGTTCGAAAACTAGTTCTCATGACATAGGTTTCACTTCACTTCTTCTCATAAGTGTTTTTAGAAAACGAAAGTGATGAGCTCCAAAACTGTTTGTTATAACTGGAAAAAAGGAAAGAAAAGAGATGATTGAGACAAAACTATTATTTTAATTCTGAAAGAATATCAACAAAGGAAATTTTTCAAAACCATATTTCAATATTATTTTCTCAAGGTATTATCCTACTGTAAAATATCAAACAACGCAATGTACTGTTTGATGCCAACCGTAATTTAAAACTAGAGATCAGGTTTCTCGCATGTATATTTATTATGTTTAATGAGAATTTTTTTAATAAAAAAATTTTTTTTGCTGCCTCTCCGCCATTTTTTTACAACAATAAACGTACATAGGCACAAGACAATCAATGTGTCTCTCATTTGCGAACCTATTCAACCACTGAGTTAAGGGGCATTATCAATTATAATTTTAACGCATTTTAATTTAATTAATTTCAGAATCGTGTGTAAACAAAATATTCATAGTAAGAACACAAAATACAAACACTAACTGAAAGAGAGTGGCAGAATTTCTACTTATAGTTACAGTAACACAACAATAAAAAAATTTTTAAAAAATTGTCCCTCTTACCAGAAACGCGTGCGCCTGAATTAAGGTTATTCAGAAACTCGAATTTGAATTTTTAATTAAAAATAAGATGTTTTACATTACACGGAATACTAGAGGAAATAATAAATTATTTCCTTATTCCCAACAAGATATATAATATTTAGAACAACGCATTTAATTAATTTAACAACAGGTTTATTAAATATTGTCTAATTAATTAAACCCAACAGAAATTACTCACTATCAAGGGAACTAGGACAATCTCCTCAGCAGAAGAAAACATTTCTACTCAAAATTATTTGATTAAGCAAAAGCAAGTGGGAAGCAAATTGTTATCCAAAAAAATAATAATATTCAGAATAATTTTTCTATTCTTAAAAGAAGTTTTAATAGTGATGTGCTATATTAATAATCATGGCGATTGTGCTTGAATTAATTTTTTTGTTTGAAAGTAGGCGAAGATTCACGTAAAAAATTTTAAGCAATGCTTTCACAATTTTACTAAATCCTAGTTTGCTTGCTTTTTATTTATTATTATTTTATTTTATTTACTTTTTTATTTTTGCATTTTTAATAAGAGATTTTAATTAATCTTTTCAGGTTGAGTTTCGAGACATATAATTGTGTAATTTATAATTTCCTTTACTATATTTTAAATCACATTCTTCTTTCTTTTTTTTTTTACGTCTTACTTTTTTCAGGTAAAAATTTCGTTCGCATGAAGTTATTACTTTTCCATGAAATTTTCTTTAAACTGTAAATATTCATTTTTCCCTAATGTGAATTGCATATTAACTCCGACTCCGAAAAGTATCTGACTATTGGAAATCATAGTAAGAATTGGAAAAGCCTAAAGTTTTTTTTGAGATTTTACCTGTGCCCAAAGATTTCTTTTACAAGTATAATTCTTAAAAAATATTTATAAAAAAAACTATTTTTAATCTCTTCAATTTCTCTTTTGCTTTATTGATTAATGATTTTTTTTTATAATGTAGCCTGAGAGAACCATTTTAAATCCCTGAACCTCTTTTTATTGTTTCCAATTTCTTTTTTTTTTCCATCATTAGATTTGTTCATTTTTCATCATAGTTGTATTTCTTTTTTTATTATTAGAAGGCTTTTAATGACTAAAAATAACAACTAAATCAATTTCCTGTTTCTGAAATTCTTTCATATTTTATTTTGATAATTTTAAAATAATAAAAAAATATTATTTCTTGATAAATTAAAAATATTTCTGAGATAAAAAATTAATAACAAACACAAGGCAAATAAATTATTACACAATTACTTACACAATTAACTTCTTTTTATACAGTTATACAATTAACAAATAAGCTTATAATATTTGTTGTATTGTAATTTCCAAACGGGAATGTAAATTATAACTGTTTCGATAAAGAAAAAAAAGAAAGAAGAAGTAAGAAAGCATCAGATTAAAAAAAATAGAAAAACCGATTTCAATTTACAGGTTAAACGACAAAAAGGAATTACTCAAACGTGAAATATACCAAGCTAGCTAATGCTTTCATTTTCTAATGACGTAAAATACCTCATGGATGATTAATTCAAAGCATTATTCAATACTCAGTAATTTCATCATATTACGAAACATCAATTACGAATGACTTCATCAAAATGCTCTCAATAGCGTTTTCTGAAGAAAAACTAACAAATAAATCAATGAAAGATATGAATGATGGTATAATGTATAATAGAGTATTATTGGCTGTGCAAATAGCTAAAATTCTTTATTTATTTGCTTAAATCGATTCCAATATCATCTTTTATTATGAATTTTTTGTTCTTTTGAGTAATGTGAGCTGCTAAAAAAAATCAATTAAATCACAAGAATATTTTTTCCAAATAAGCATTAGGTTTGAAAAATATCTCCCTATTGTTCTCTTTAGCGCGTTATACTGTGTTTGAGTAAAACTTAACACAGTCTGAAAATGTATGCAGATATTAATATACAACGTCTAAATGCATTTTAGTTTTTATAAAAACTACTAGAGTAAAAACTTAAAAAGAAAAACAAACGAAAAAAATGTGCAAATTTATTTTGAAATCTTTTTTGTTTAGAATGCATGCTAGTTAAAGTTTTCTATTAATAAATACATTATAAAACCAAAATTTTGGTTATGTAATTGATTTACAAAGAATAATCAACAATTTAAGTATTTTTCTTTTTGCTCATAAGCAAAAAAAAAATTTCATTCGATTATGGAAGGATTTTTTCGAACCGGGGTAGCCCAGTGTTCAGAGAATCGAACTCAACTCCGTTAAGATCCATCGAGTACATGCGATATACATGCTCATAAAATCTCCTTCCCTCTCAGATCTGTGTCTAAACTAAGGAAGTGGCCCCGCTAATGACTGCTGCTGCCATCTATCCATGGGGTTCCGATATAAGACGTACTTTCATTTTGCGATGCTCTCTTTTCAAATGAAAGGCGCATTTTTCTGATTTAATTTGTAAAAGGCCGATAGCTGGCGGGCAGGGCTTGTCCAAGTGTCAATGGAAACAACAGGGTTCCTTCAGCAAGTGTCTCGCGTGCAACTAGTGACTCGACGATGACATTTTATAGTGTCTCCCTAAATTAACTCTTTCTGTTTAATAGGATTGTTTGATAAAAAATAAATGAAAAAAGCCGTACAATGGCAGGTAGTTCAGTTGCGTCGCAGAGGCTCAGGCAAAGAATATATAAGTGAATCACTTATATATTCTTTGGCTCAGGTATAGAGCTCTTACCTCCCAGTGAGGTGACACGGTTTCGAATCCCAGCGATGGCTGATAAATACGGATTCCGCACTTGGGTCACACCGACCACGGTGCTGACGTAAAATATTCTCAATGGTAAACAGATTATGGGTTAGAGTCCTCTTGCCGCCAGACTACCCACTATCCGTGGGTTTTTTTTTGTGGTTTTCTTCTCCATGCAACGCAAATGTGGGTTCGTTCCATCGAAAAGTCCTCCACTGTGGCAAATATCTCCTAATACTTGGTCCAGAAGCTCCGTTGTCCTCAGGATTTGGTTCAAAATTACAAGGCTGCAAAGTTGAACAGTGGTAGTCATACACTCAAAATTGGATTATTTGTTCAACGACGGTTATAAAATATAAATAAAAAAAAATAAAAAAAACTTCAGTTGACAGTCAGTCATGCGAAATTTGTAACTGATTCTTTTAAACAAGAATGACGAAGTAGTTTAGCGTTTTACTAAAAATTAAACTTAAGAAAAAAAGGGCAAAAGAGACTAATTCGCCAAACAACACAAAATCAAAAATGAAAAAACGTTACCAGTTCAACTTTTGATAAATACTTAGAGATTTGCGACTACGAAAATTTCGCTTTGTTCTGTAAGATGTTTTCAATTTTCGAGAAAGAAAAAAAAGCTATGTCATATTTCAAAATAAGATCAAAATGGCATTCATTCCTATTGTAATTTTTTGTCTGGGTGAAAATCCAATTAACTTTAAAGTGTAAAAGATGGAGGGGAAAAAAAAAACTTTTCCAAACTCTGAACAAGCATTAGTGTTTAAAAGAGAGATTAAAACCGTCTTTAATCAGTTTGTTTGAAGATAAATCTTAAAACATGTTATTAACTTAAGACGAATGCGATCCAATCCCGATAGACAAATAACTAAAAAATTATAATTACATAAATAACTAAATAATAATTTTAATCCCTACGTTGTAATGATTTATATTATACTAATATACATAATCGGATGTGACTTGTATATTAGTATGATATTTCTATACCCTTATTTAATGCTTCAGGCATTAGTAAAAATGTATGAAATGAATTGGAACTAAAATTCTGCTAAATTTTTTTCAAAATATCAATATGTTTAAAATTTAAAAACTTAGTAGGCTTTGTAGAAAATAGCTGCTACCTCTTATACTACCTTTTTCGATAATAATAAGGTAAAATTGTTTGAAGTCGCTCTTGTGGGTTAAAATTAAAACCAGGTATGATAATTTTACCTATAGTGAGTCGTCTATGTAACTTCTTGAACTATTTAGTTTTTAATTCAATTTAACCCGTCTGTTCTGATGCTGGTTTTAAATAATATTTTTTCAATTCAGAAAACAAATTTCACCACCCTAATATCTTCAGAAAACATAAATAAAATATTGCAGAATATTAATGAATCATTTATTTAATTACTCCACTTCATTAATGCGTTTTTCTCTATATCTCTAAGCTAACATTTTATCAGACAGGTTCTTATAATGTAGAACTTAGAAAATGACTTTATGAAGAAAAGTAATAAAATTTAATATTAAAGATTTTCTTCTGTTACCTACCATTTTACCTGTGTTACTCACATTTTGCAACTACTTTCTGTCACCAATTTCATTTGAATGAAATATGAGTAACTGTTTTGGTATTGAAATAGGTTGCCATTGTTAACCTGAGTAGCATTGTAAGAA